AAATTAATAAACAACTACATGTTAAAATAGCTTCTAATTTTTTTTCACAAATTCAAATTTTTACGATTCATATTTCCGATTCACATTTCTATTTCTTTTAATATTAAAAACCAAGATTCTATATATTTCAAGCCTGTATTTAATTCTTATGTATATGACAATACTGATTGTCAACCGAATTTACAGCAAATCATTGTTTTTTAACTGTTAGTCTTTTTATCATGATAAAAAAGTGAGAATTGTATTCGACAAAATACTAAAAGTAGTTCTAATGCGAAAATAATCTTACTTATACAGTTGGTTTTTCAATAATGTGTTAACAAAATATAAAAGGTCATAAGAATTTGTGTAGCTTTCAAATTTTTAGCGCAATTAGAGAAATTCTAAGTACTTAGAGTAATTTTTCAACGACGTAGATGTATTTATCATTAGTAATGTGGAAAATAGGTTTTTCTATTTGATATTTATAAAGAGTATTTTTAATATTGTTCTGAAGCTATTTTCTTGTGGCATTGTAAATTAATTACTATTTAACTGGGAATAAGCCACAATTAAAGATAAAAACACGTTTATTGACGTTTCAACTTCCACCTCGGAAATCGTTCTCAAAATACAAATCTTATTTGAAACGATGGAAATAAAAATACTGACAAGAACTACAAGAAAGAGACAAGACAGAATAACGCTTACAGACCGACAGAGGAGTAACCACTGCAAAACCACTTAACAAAAAAAAAATAGAATTTTAAGAATTCATATAGGATGCCTATTCCAGACAGGAATATATAGAGACACAAGGAGTATCATAACCAACGGGATAAGATCTGGTATGCGGGTGAATCCAAATGGAGACCTTAACTGCAGACTCTGTGACAAGGAACTAGAAACTGTAAAACATGTATTATGCGATTACGAAGTACCTTGTATACTTTGTATACAAAAACTGTATTAGCAACCAAGAGTATGCTACAAGGTACAAAAATTCCAGACTGGATATAGGAAACAAGAGTGGACAGCAAACACATTAAGCTTCAGCTTCAGTGATAACGGAGATCTTTTGAATGAGACGGACCAAGGAAAAAAATCCACTGCAAAAGATCATATAACGTACAGTGTAAAAGCGAGTGGATATTAAACAGATAAAAAGGAATAATCATGTAAGTGCAAGGGGACTTTTAAAAAGTCCCCTTAAAAAAAAAAAAAGTAAACCAAGCATACCTAACTTACTTCGGCCACATAGCTTGAAGAACGGGCACCATGGAACTATTGGTAGTAGAAGGAAAGGTAGAAAGCCGAAGACCAAGAGGAAGATCTCCAATACGATGGGTAGACCAAAAAATGAAGAGTTTGGTGGGAAAATCCCTACATGAAGCCGTCCATATGGCACAAGATCGCAGTCAATGGAGACAGCAGACTAACAATATTTAGGGTGTCACTACGCCCTGACAAGGGCTAAAGGATTGAGGAGGAGGCAAGGGGACAGATCAGAGAAGTAAACAGAGCAAGAGATAATTCACCAAACGTATAGGAGTATAGGACGATAGCGCAAAAATGGAGTAACAACCTTCCATAGAGATATCAATCCGTCAATGAACAAGTAAAATTGCTTATAGAGAGGAAGAAGAATAGGATGTACACGTGAAGAATCGTTATAAGACTATCTAAACACTAAAGTACGTTAAAAAGTGATAAAGACATATATAGGCACAGCTACGTATTTAGATTCTCCTAGAAGTTCTTTTAATGTTTTTGGAATGTGGTGATATAGTCTTTCAACTGAGTATATTGGACAATCAATCGAAATATGCTTTACTGCCACTTTACATTCAAAAACTAAACACACTGGTTCTCTCGTCAACAAGTATTCATGTGTTGTAGAAGTGTGTCCTAATCTGCGACGTGTTATTAGGACTTGATGTTATCGCTTTGAAGGCCAGAAGTTCCAAGAAAGGACGGAAGATTTTATTTCTATCAATTTAGTGGTGCCTCTATTCCATTGGTTTTGCCAAACATCGTGCAATTTTGCTTTTAATTAAGGTTTTAAATCTAAATGCACCGTTAGATTTTCCAGTGATGCGGCTGTACTGGTTACTGCGGACCTAGCTGGACTATATGCCTTTTCGTTACCATCTATTCCAACGTGTGACGGTACCCAAAAGAACTCTACTGTCAAATTGTTTTGGTATATACGGTATAAAATTAACTTAATCTGCTGTAATATTGGATGAGAGAAATAAATCTGAGAAATTGATGTCAGATGTCAGAACTAAGTGAATCAGATATTATAAGAGATTTGGGAAGTTTTTTTTTCTAGAATAAAAGTTAGGGCCTTAATTATGTCAAATACTTCTGCTGAATATAAATTTTATATTACAAATATTTTACAAAAGAATATTGGTCGTATAAACTCAATCAGTTGTTATTTCGATGCATACTGATAAAACTTTTCGCTTTTTACTTAAAATTTTCCATCTAACATGAGTTTGTATTGTTCTGAAGCTATTTTCTTGTGGCATTGTAAATTAATTACTATTTAACTGGGAATAAGCCAAAATTAAAGATAAAAATACGTTTATTGACGTTTCAATTTCCACTTCTGAAATCGTTCTCAAAATACAAACAGTAAATTAAACAAATTTTGTTTTTTGTTACATAGTGAAAAATTCTTCTAATAATTTAATTTTATCTGACTCATTTATATTGACAATTCAGACATACATTATGCATTTTAAAGTAGACGACTTTAAAATGATATTGCCAATATTGTTGAGTTGCGCTCCTGGAACGACTTTACTTATAAGATAGTTCATTCGATTACATGAAATCAACTTTAACTTGAGAATATCCGTCAGAAAAAAATCATAGCATGTAATTCGTCTTTAAAAAGACAAATACATGACATGATGACAGTAAAATTCTCCTGTTAGTGATTCCATAGTAAATTATGAGGGAAAAACCAGGAAAAAAACCTTATAATACTATCCCGACATTGTAAGTGTTTGTTCGTGAATTTAGTTTACCTTCAACAAACATCAAAATTCTGATTTTATATGTTACGTTATTTAAAAAACATAAATGATGTATCCTCTATATGTTACTGACTTACTAATACTGGTATTTTCTTATTAATAACTTCCTTTTTTAATATTGGTTACCAGATCCTACTATATTCTGCCGAGGAATTTGCGACACAATTGGCCTCATTTAGCATAATTAGAGCCGCTTCTTTGATTTTTCTTTTTTTACCATCCGTTTCTTTTAGGACCTCATTTGAATTATTCCATTGAACCCTATGTTTATTATCCCATGCGTGTTTACATATTTGAGATCTATCAAATTCTCTATTTTTAATATAAGATTGATGTTCACTTATTCTAACATTTAATGGCCCTTGATGATTCACCTAAATAAAACTGATCGCATTCACAAGGTATTTTATAAATAGGAATTTTCAACAATCGATCGAATAGAACAGAACAACTTAGAACGAGATCCTACAGCATACACAAGGAATAATATGAGGAAAATAACAATACCGTACATAAAAGGATTATCAGAAAAACTTAAAAGCATAGGAAATAAATTCAACATTTCAACAATATTCAAAACAACAAACACGTTGAGATCTATTTTGTCCAAAACCAAACCTAACAATGAACAAGAAAGGACAAAGAATTGCATTTATAAAATACCTTGTGAATGCGATCAGTTTTATTTAGGTGAATCATCAAGGCCATTAAATGTTAGAATAAGTGAACATCAATCTTATATTAAAAATAGAGAATTTGATAGATCTCAAATATGTAAACACGCATGGGATAATGAACATAGGGTTCAATGGAATAATTCAAATGTAGTCCTAAAAGAAACGGATGGTAAAAAAAGAAAAATCAAAGAAGCGGCTCTAATTATGCTAAATGAGGCCAATTGTGTCGCAAATTTCTCGGCAGAATGTTGTAGGATCTGGTTACCAATATTAAAAGAGGAAGTTATTAATAAGAAAATACCAGTATTAGTAAGTCAGTAACATATAGAGGATACATCATTTATGTTTTTTAAATAACGTAACATATAAAATCAGAATTTTGATGTATGTTGAAGGTAAACTAAATTCACGAACAAACACTTACAATGTCGGGATAGTATTATGAGGTTTTTTTCCTGGTTTTTCCCTCATAATTTACTATGGAATCACTAACAGGAGAATTTTACTGTTATCATGTCATGTATTTGTCTTTTTAAAGACGAATTACATGCTATGATTTTTTTCTGACGGATATTCTCAAGTTAAAGTTGATTTCATGTAATCGAATGAACTATCTTATAGTAAAGTATAGTAAAGTATAGTAAAGTAAAGTCGTCCCAGGAGCGCAACTCAACAACATTGGCAATATCATTTTAAAGTCGTGTACTTTAAAATGCATAATGTATGTCTGAATTGTCAATATAAATGAGTCAGATAAAATTAAATTATTAGAAGAATTTTTCACTATGTAACAAAAAACAAAATTTGTTTAATTTACCGTTTGTATTTTGAGAACGATTTCCGAAGTGGAAATTGAAACGTCAATAAACGTATTTTTATATTTAATTGTGGCTTATTCCCAGTTAAATAGTAATTAACATGAGTTTGGTCTGATTCTTATTTTTTCATTATCGCTGTCATCATCATCCTGTATAAGTCTCAATAAATTGTCACGAATAATCGTAGAATGAGTGACAGGCGTTGTCCACTGGAATGAAAAGTGTACGTGACACTTACTTATGGTCATTTTCTTCGCGTAGTGATTGTGATGGGGAGACGCACGACTTGTTTGATACTTTCTTCGACGGTTGGTCGCTGTCTCGATGGTCTCTGGTCGATCCCAAGAGTATTTGATATCAAGATATAGAAATATATCTTATTTATATCGGTAGTTCGGTTCCGCATTGACTCGCGGTAAATTTAACGGCGTTGTGGGATTGTGTACTGATTGAAAATTTATGCCAGTGTTCGGAAAATGATTAAAAACGCTATTAGGATTTTACGAGGTATGTTTCCATGCAATTAAATTTAGTTTAAAACAATATCAGGTATAGTGTGTTTTTAATTGGTTTTTATATATTCTGCTAATTTATTTTGTGTAGCTGCAGTGCTAAGGTGACAGAAGCAAGTGGGTAATTTTTAAATTAAAAAAGTTTATTTCAAAGTTGCAAGTTCGTTTATACATAAATTCATTTGTAAGTATCCTAAATTTTTTATATCAAAATAGACAAGGGTCGATAATTTTTGAAACCAAAAAAAATTATAGTAGAATAAAACCTATTGGAAAAAGAAGAGAATATGCTAAAATTGGAAGAAAAAATAAATTACACTTCATCCGAGGTGGGGGAAGGGGGGTTTAAGGTTAAAAATCGGTTTATCGCGATTTTCGGCGAAACTGCAAGTGCTATGGAAAAAAGTTAAATAACAAAGTTGTAGGTAACAAAAAGATCTACAACATTTGTATTTACACTTTTTTTACATAACCTCAAAATGTTTGTGGAAATTTCAAAAAACTAAGTTTTTGATTTTTTATTTTTCTTTAAAAAAAATTTTTTTTTACAAATTTTGTAACTTTTTGTCACTTTTTTTCCCATGATGTCGGTTACTTTAGTTCTTCGACGTATTTCGGTGTTAGGAATTTTGTCTCTGAGGCTTATATTTAACATGGCCCTCTCCATGGCCCGTTGAGTTACTCTTAATTGTTCTGTCATTTTTCTTGTTATTGCCATAGTTTCCAATCCATAAGTTGCAACTGGTAGTATACAAGTGTCATAGGTTTTTCGTTTTAAGTGAATTGGGATTTTTCTGTCGTTTAAAATGAAGCTCAACTTACCAAAAGCAGCCCATGATAATTGTGTCCTTTTTTTAATTTCTAGGGTTTGATTTTCCTTTTCGTTTTTAATTGCATGTCCTAGATATATATATATATATATATATATATATATATATATATATATATATATATATATATATTGTTCTACCTTTTCTATATTGATGTTATCTATCGTGATGTTTTCTAGGCTGTTGCTTAATATCTTTGTTTTGTCGAGATTCATTTTTATTCCTATTTGATTCGATTTGTGATTTAAATCTTGTAGCATTGATTTTAGTTCATGGATATCTGTGCTTATTAGTACTATGTCGTCTGCAAAACGCAAATGGTTAAGATATTCTCCATCTATTTTTAATCCATTTTCGGCCCAATTTAGTTGTTTGAAAACATTTCCTAATGCCAAAGTAAATAACTTAGGTGAGATGGTGTCGCCCTGTCTCACACCTTTGCCAAGGTCTATTTTCTAGTTTCCAGATCATCATCTATTTTTACGTGAAAAGTAGCATCATCGTATATATTCTTAAGGAGGGCAGCGTATCTTGAATCTACTCTGGCGTCGTCCAATGCTGTTAAGAAAGCCCATTTCTCGATACTGTCGAATGCTTTGTGATAATCGACAAATGCCAGATGTAGTGGTATGTTGTACTCTATTGTTTTTTCAATAATGGTCCAAATTGTTTTCAAGTGATCGATAGTGCTAAAACCCTTACGAAAGCCTGCTTGTTCCACTGATTGGTATGCATCTAGTTTAGCTGTCAATTTATTTGTTATTATTCGGGTTAGTAGTTTGTAAAGGTGTGACAATAAGTTTATTGGTCGGTAGTTTTCTATATTTGCGGCGTCCCCTTTTTTATGGAGTAGAATGACTTCCGCATTTTTCCATGTCTTCGGTATTTGTCCTTCCAATAGGCATTTATTAAGTAATGCTCTTATTGACTCTTCTAATGCAGTGCCTCCCATTTTTAGCATCTCTGAAGTAATTTTATCTTCTCCTGGTGTTTTCCCATTTTTCATTTGTTTTAGGGCAGCTCTAATTTCTAATGTAATTATTTCAGGGAAGTCCTCTGAGCCCACATTTAAGATATGTTTTGTTGGTATACCGGAGTTCGGAATAGTAGAAGTATACAGGTTCTCATAAAATTTTCGGATTTCTCTAACGATCTCTTCCTTATGCGAGCACAATGTTCCACGGTCGTCTTTTATCTTTATGATTTTATTCCTGCCAGTGGATTTACATGTTTTTAGTACTTTCATGTTCTTATTGTTTTCTATGGTTTCAAGAATCTGGTTTGTTCTATAAACTCTGAGGTCTTTTCGAATATTTTTCTTAACGCTTCTGTTGAGCGCTTTATAGTCCGGGTTATCTCTGGTCGTTCTTCTTCTTTTCTCTATATGTTCTAGAGTTTCGGGTTTTAGTTTAGCTTCCTTTTGTTTTCTTATTCTGCAACAAAGTTTCTGAGTGACTGTTTGTATGTCTTTAGTTATTTTCTCAGCTAGTTCATCTATATTATTGTACTCAAAGGTATTTGCTACTAGTTTTCGTGCTAATTCCTCTTGGTATTTCTCTTTATTACTGGCTAGGATGTCTGCCGTCGGTAAAGGGTTTGTTGTTAATAGTTTTCGTCTTTCTCTCTTTGTGTTAATACGTATATCAGCACGAACTAGTCTATGGTCACTGCCGATGTTAAATTTGTTCAATACCTCGATGTTTTTACATATTGATCTATCACTGGAAAGGATAAAATCTATTTCATTCTTAACCTGACCGTCCTAAGTCCAATTCGCAATGTGTAAATTAATTCAATTAATTGGGAGAAATCGATTTGGTCATGGAATCGTTCATCAATAATTGTGCTTTGGTAGTGATCTGAGTTTTCCATACTTTCCAACGACTTGTTTCTTGTCGTTTGTCTTTCCCACTTTGGTATTAAAGTCACCAGTTAAATACTTGAAGTATTTCTATACATAATAAATACTTAATATACTTTCTATACAAAATGGGTTATATAATATATTATACCTGAAATAGTCTTGCCCTATTATTCTTCGAATTTCAACTTTCAGTTATTGTTGTAAGTTTTTTCTCCAATTCTTTTTAGCGCACGTAACCAATGTCATTTCTTCCAAGCATCAGTTTTTATTAGTAATAAATTATATTTTTGAAAGCATAGGCATAGAGACTTTAATTAATATCTATATACCTCAAGTGTATTTAATGCTCAGTGTATGTATTAATAAATTGTAATTTTATACGTTAAGTTTAAGTTTTATACTGTTTAAAGAGAAAAAATTAAGTAAAAGAAATTATTCGACATGTAATTCTTTCACATCTTGCATTAATTACTAACCTACATTCAAGTGTGCTTATGCACTATAAAATATAATTAGTATTCTAAGAGGGAAACAATCACGAACATTAAATTACAAATAGTTTTATACAGGGAAGTGCTTATTATATTTCAAGTGGTATTGAGTATACTTGAAATTTAAAACACTTATAGTTCTGCTAATGTGAAATTATATAAAATGTAGAATAAAACTTACTTAACTTCTACAAAATGGATTTCAAGTGGGTCTGTGGAATACAACTGTATGAATTTAACATATCAACTTTGTCATGATAATGATAATGACTGCCAAAATATATTGGAAATATACTATTTATATTACAACAATATTTACAAACAAAACTAGATCTATCCAGTGGAGTAGAATTTTATGACGAAATAAAATTTCAACAACATGAAGTAATGAAAGCTTTGACTTAAACGGTCCGCTGAGAAAGTCATAATGTGTCCCTTTCACACGTGATATTTTCCTGTAGAACACTTTTTGGGATAAAAAGCTTTTTAACACATCTATTCTTAAAATAATAAAATATAAGAAACATTATTTTTACAAGTCTTTCGTTTAACTGAAATACTTTATACCATTTGGCATACTAAAGAAAGCATTACCACATATTCATGCAATACTTATTTACGAACGTTAAATTTCATTAAATATTTCAGAATCTCCAAGGAAGTATCTGGAAAACGAAGTAACCATCCACTACAAGACCCCAGTGCGACAAGAAATAAAAGAATACCTAAGCGAAGACGAATTGGCCCATCGACAAGCAGAGGCTATGAAGAAAATTTATCAAGAAGAGAGACGGAAGAAATATCTGCAGGTTAGCAAGTCACTTCAAGTAAGTTATTGTCAATAAGTTTAGGTTTGGCAGGTGTGGAGGCTCGATGCTTTCGAATAACCCACGAAAAGCGGTTGAATAACTAATGCTGCTTTTTTTACTAGTGGAGTGGTACGTACAAAATGAATTTTAATGGAAAAACATAATTATTGTCTTGTTTTGCTATTACTTTTTACTGTTTCATGAATATATTATTCAATATTAGCCCTACATTGAATTAAATTATTCTTCAAATTCCGAAGAATGATTATTTTATTCCATTTTGGGTTCAGAAGAAGAATTAATCATTTCTTCTTCTTCTTCTGGTAGCACTACAACCCGGGGTGGGTCTTGGCTGACTGCACAACCTGCTTTCATCTCGAACGGTCGTCCATGATGTTTAATTCAGTGGGTAGCCCCATTGTTCTCAAATCTGACCATATATTATCTCTCCATCGCATTCGTGGACGTCCTAAGGGCCTTCTCCCTGTCGGAACTTCTTCCCAGATTAACTTGGTAAGGCGGTTATTAGGGAGCCTATGAACATGGCCAGCCCATCTTAGACGTTGGGATTTAATCTCTTGGACTACGTCGCTAGCACTATACATTTGTTTGACCTCGGCATTTGTTCTCATTCGGTATTGGTTAGTATTCGGATCGTGATAGGGACCGAAGATCTTTCTGAGGATTTTTCTCTCAAAGCATCTGAGTTTACTTTCCATTGCTTTTGTCAGCGTCCACGTCTCACACCCATACATGAGCACCGGTCTAATTACTGTTTTATATATCCTGATTTTTGATGTTCGTATTAGGCTCTTGGATTTAATAGTGTTGTGGAGGCTATACATACATCTGTTTGCTGCCTGAATTCTCCCTTTTATCTCTTCCGTGATATCGTTATCTGTGGTGATAGTCGCTCCGAGATATTTAAAACTCTCCACTCTTTCAAAGTTATTGTTACATTTTGTCCTATTTTATCTCGTCTCTATTGTCTGTTAATGCACATATATTTGGTTTTCTCTTCATTGACCCTTAGACCGGTATTTTTTGCCTATCTCTCTAATTTATTGAATTCCCATCCTTTTTCAAGCAGCTGCCTGAGAGTAAAAATCTGATCTGTGGTCGATCTATTTTTTCTGAATCCGGCTTGGTATTCCCCTATGAAATTTTCTACAAACGGTGTTAGTCTACTTAATAGGACGTTCGATAAGATTTTGTACGCCGTATTAAGTAGGGAGATGCCTCTATAGTTAGAGCACTTGGTTTTGTCTCCCTTTTTATGGATAGGAATTATTACACTTTCGTGCCATTTTGTTGGTATTTTCTCTTCGTTTCATATAAGTGTTATTAGTTTGTGTAATTGTCTATGTAAAGTTTCTCCTCCGTACTTAAGAAATTCGGCTGGTATATTGTCAGAGCCTGGAGCTTTTGCGTTCTTCAATTTGTTAATTGCAATTAATCATTTACCCAAATTAATAATTTATCTAGTTAACGTGAAATATAAACAGGTAATAAAAGAAAACTATAAAAGTTACAAGATTCCAACTTAAAATAATTAAAATTAAATGAAAAAAAAAACATGCAAATGTTAACGTCAACAACATTAAATAAAAATAAAAAAATAAAAAGAAGTAAAAGAGAAAATGCATAAAAATATTAAATTACACCAAAAATTTTCGGGCTCAGAATAAACTGATCAAGTAAAATAAGAATTTTCCGTATTTTACTTTAGTATGCAATCATATTCATATAGATACAGAATGAGATTAACTTACTATAGATGCTAATAAAATTAATTGTTGCTTAGCACAATGAATTTAAACTAAATCTTAAGTCATAAGTTGAAACACCAAGAAAAAAAAGTTACACTACCGTTCAAAAATCGGTCGAAAATTTACACTCCATCGTTTGTAAGTTTGACAATTTAGTCAACATAGATATTCACAAATGTCAGAACGACCAACTGATAGAATTGTAGAAAAAACTATACGAAGTATAGATAGAATTATAGAAAAAATTCGCTATTATATAAATACAAGAAACCAATTCGCTAAGGATTTCTGCTTAGTTGAGGATACATGTCGTGGAATGCAAATTTTAGATTCCCCATGTCCCTTTTAACATCTTTATCAACGTCTATTTACCTTGCAATTTTTAGAAGGTTCAGATTAAAGCAGTAATCTGAATTGGCTTCGAAAACTATTTTACGGATTTATTATCAGATTTCGCTATTGCGTCCATGTCGAAGCCATTTTAATGTTGCTTCTTAAAGACAGAAAAGATTTATTTTTCACGTTGAGAACGCCTATGAATAGCTGTTCTGATGAGGCCTATTAGGCCGAATTGCGTATAAACAGATACATAGACGCTTTGTACGTGAAATCTAACCTTTACTGTCTTTTTCATTTTATAAGTTATGTACTTTGAAATGGAAGGGAAACTTCCGGAAACTAATGAGAGGTATCCAGGGGAGTTCTTCTTCTTAGAGTGCCATATCAATACGGAACGTCGGCGACTACCATGCTTATAACATTATTATACTGATCTCGGTCTTGGGCTACGTGTAGCAATTGGTCCGCTGTCAAACCAGGGGAGTAAATATCTCAAAACTGGAAAAATGACGTTTTGGCGATTTTGATACTAGACGACTCAAATGGTCGTAACTAAAATAATATACGAACCAGGCGCATATTCTAGAAGAATTATATTGAATTTTTAACAGTCAATTTTAAAGCTAACAAAATAATAAGGTGAATAAAATATAAAGCTACAAGTCTAAGCCAACATTCTGCTCTAAAACATTTCTTACAAGCCAAAGCCTTTACTTAATATTAGATTTATTTTGATAGTTAGGTGCATGTATTTTTAACTGTACTATATATGATACATATTTCATTAGTTTAGATGTTGCCCAATGAAGAAATACCCCATGCCAAACAAAGACAAACAAAAAATTGTTACAACCTTCTACTCACTACGCAAAAACACTCTTAAAAGCTTCAGAACAATAAACACAGAGTGATCACAGTTCTCCCTGCATACTGCTCACTCAAACATATCTCTGTAAAATGGGAAAATTTGACAGAGTACTATAAAGCTTCTGCGAACATAGAAGTCAACGATCAAACATCACCTTGTAACTACTGAGTCAACGTCCACGCCAGAAATACCTGAGAGTGGTTTTTAAAACCTCATCAGATAACAAATATGGCTTCGCAACTAATAATAAGCTTTCTTATTTACAAATCTAGTTCTTTTTGCCTAAGTTTTGGATGTAGGATATATACAAAAGACATTTCAGGACTCAGTGTGGTAAGTTTTAAATTACTGAACAGTCTTTGAAATCTACAGTCTACAATCTACTGATAAAGAATGTTAACTGGTTTAAGAATTCAAAATACATATTCTTCAAGAAGTTGGCATAGTTGGAAGAGGATAGATTGATATTAGACTAGCCTTTGATAGATGGCGCTACTTGATACCGAATTGGTTTCGGTGTTGACATTTGCCATTCATGACATGACGTCTGTCAAAATTTTAAGTTTTAAAAACAATTAGTTTGGTTTTTACAGCCGTCAAAAGCAAGCAAATGTTTTGTGTTTTGTGTTTTTTTTTTTTTGTGTGCAAATCAAAGCCGATCTGGACGAAGTTTATGGTGAGGTTGCACCTTCGTTAGCAACAGTAAAATTTTTTAAAGCTGAATTTGTTCGTGATCCAACGAGTGTTTTTGATGATGAGCGTCCCAGTAGACCAAATGAAGTCATCACGCCGGAAATGATCAACAAAATCCATGGCATGATTATGGCAGATCGTCGAATTAAGCTCCGTGAGTTAATAAGTCCTAAACATTTCCTACGAATGCGTACACAACATCATTCACCATTATTTTGACATGAAATAGCTACCCGCGCGATGGGTGCCGCGTTTGCTAACAATCGATCAAATGCAAAAACGTGTGACCACTTCGGAGACGCTTTTGGCGATGATACGGTGCGATCCGAAGAATTTTTTTCACCGATTTATCACCGTTGATGAAACCTGGGTGCATTTTTACACGCCGGAAACCAAAGAACGATGCGAACGACATCATCCACATCGACTACTTGAAAAAACGAAAAACAATCAATGGTGAGTACTACGCAGCATTACTGAATCGATTCCATGCCGAATTACGTCGAAAACGCCCTGGTTTGGATCGCAAAAAAGTGCTCTTTTACCAAGACAATGCAACGGCTCACTGATCGGCCGTCGCCAATGCAAAATTACACGAATTGGGCTATGAATTGGTTGAACATCCACCGTATTCCCCAGATCTTGCCACCAGCGATTTTTTCCTGTTTCCAAACCTAAAGAAACGGCTCGGAGGACGCCGTTTCGCAACAAATGATGAAGAAGAATTGAAACTTCGGCCTATTTTAAAGAGCTCGATCAAAAGTACTATTCGGATGGGATAAAAAAATTGGAACATCGTCTTACTAAGCGTATCGAGCTAAAAGGGGACTATGTTGAGAAATTAATCGATTTATTTCCAAAAAACTTGTTTTTCTATCAAAGGCTAGTTTTATATCAATCCACCCTCGTACGATCCACTCAATCCACTCAATAATACGTGTACATTGTGCTTTACTATGAAGTCGAATCGTAGAGGATTAGTTACAAGGCGTTAAGAAGACTTATTTTCTTTAAGATGTGAACATATCGAAGCGTTCTAAAGATCTCTTGGGTAAATTACGTTACAAACTTTAAAGTGTTGAGAAAACCGAAGAAAGAAGAAGTTGAAAGGACAATAAAGAAAGAAAAAGCATATATAATGCGTGGAAGAAATACAGCAACTTGCAGATCATGATCCAATGCAAAACAAAAGAAGATTAATATCAAGTATGATATGGTTGTAGTTCAAAACAACTCTTTAGACCAGTTGCTTTAATAGTTATAGTTTCTATGATAATCTTAAGCTCCGTAACGGAATCACTTAAGAAGATCGAATTAATTATTTAATTAAAAAATGTAATATTTGCACATCGGTCTTCTTGCTGTCCATTCCCGTTTAGAACTTTATCTGGAAAAGATGAACAAAATAGAAACTCGAACTTGTTACTTCTGTGGTTACTTCTGTCACAACTACACAGAGCCTTCAAAAGATATACGCAAAATTTGTCTTACATTTTAGAGAAAATTTTAATTTTTTCCAGAGATTTTTACCAGACATATGGACATCCTAGAGTATTTATCAAACTGTAGAGAACAAATGATTTTATCAAATCGAAATGCAATGTGGCAAGAGTGCAAAGATTTAATTAATCTAATCTAACCTTATATTTGCTATATAAAACACTATATTTAATAGTAATATTAAAAATTCGTTTTAGGAACTTCAAGACATGAATTCCAGAAGGCACACAGACAATTTCATTCCCTCCCAAAAATCTCCAATATCCCTTAATCGATATGACGACTTTGAGGATCTAGCACCATCTGTAAAACCACGACCTCGAACACCAGGTAAGTTTTATACAAAATTAACCCCCAAAACCCCTTCTGGATGAGCCACTGGTATAAAAATCAGTCAATACGTTACAATTATAAGTAAAAAAAAAAACATATACTCGGTTCGCTATTCCCAGTCCGAACTGTCTAATGAATTTAGTAATTATTTTTTTGCGAAATTAGTTACTTTTTGACAGACTAGAAGTGGCTGGAAATTACTATACAACCAAGCACACGTGCTCATAGCCAATATTAATAGTAAACAAATGTAAATAAAATAGAACTTTATTAATTACCGACTAACTGGATAAACTTTAAATTCTGGAATAAACTTGATTAAACTTTATTCGTTTATTAAAAGTATTCTTAAAAATCTCAAGCTAAATGTTACTAAAAACTTTAAGTTGGTTGCCTACATTTGGCGCAACTTAACGATTAGCCTAACTTTTTTATAAAATATGTGTAGGAAAAATTTTATGGTCGGTATGGACCTTACGTGAGATGGAGTGAGAAACAGCTGTTTAAAAAGAGAGAGGTATATTAGGTACGCCCTTTATATCGCCGAATGGAAATATTAAAAAAGGGGAAATTCAACGTTGCCAAACTTATTGGTTTTATTTGACCTCTTGTCTTTTTTTGCATTTGAACAATGTTCTATCAAGAAGATAAAATGCTCAAGATAATCAAATTTGGGCGAAATTGATTTAAATGGCAGGTTACTGTTTTTTTTATTGGGAATATGCCACAAGTTTTCTTTACAATAATTGTAATATAACATTTTGATTTCCATTTCGGAAATCGTTTTATATAAATAAAATTTATTAATGTTTCGTATTTTAAGTACGATTTCCGAACTAAAAATCTAAACATCAAAATAATTTCCCAATATGAAATAATAAACAATTAAACATGCATACAATAACGCCAAATTAAAAAATATTCATACACTAATTTATTTGGCAACGTCTAGTTTAGATATTCGTCTGGTCAAAAGATCGAGTAACGAGAAGTAGAGGTGGGTCGTGCTAGTTTATCGTTAAGAGCGTAAGTGCAAAATTTCGGGCGAATGTTTTTTAAATGCATTCATTTTTTTCGAATCCTGAGAAAACTAATAAATATTTTTGAAAAAATTAAACGCAGAATAAAACAATACATTATTACCGAGAGCTGAAAGTCCCTGAAAACTTCTATAATGTTTATTTTAATAAGTTATAGGGATGAAAAAAAAAACAAAATTTAGTGTGATTTTTAATTTCAAATATCTCATTAAAAAAACTTTTTGTTTATTCTAAGGGACCTTCGGCCCTCGGTAATAATGTAATCTTTCATTCTGCATTTAAATTTTTCAAAAATATTTGTTAGTTTTCTTAGGATTGCAAAAAAATTTAAATTTTTTTGAATGCTAAAAAGCATTTAAAAATTTTAATTTTCATAAACAAGTAACTATGATTGTTTAAAAGTAGTTTCAAGTAAGATAATACCTACATAAACAAACATAACGGCTATTATCGTTTATGTGTATATCTTTTGAAGTGAAAGAAACTACCTAATGATATATTTATTATAACTTGAAAAATAAACTAAACAATCATCATCATCATATAACGGGGGTCCTACGGCGATTGCCGCTTCCCGCATTTCAGCCTCCATCTTTTCCTATCTCCCCAATCTCCCTCTTCTAAACCTCTAGATTGCATTGTTTTTGTAATTTCTCTTCTCCAGGATTTGGTGGTCTTCCCCTTTTCCTTCTTTCTGGCGGAACATACATTAAGGCTTTCTTTGGCCACCGCTCCTCCTCCATTCTCATCACGTGACCATACCATTGTAATTGCCTTCCTTGTATTCTATCTGAAAGAGTATCTCTAATTCCTGTACGGTTTCGTATTTCCTCATTCCTGATTCTTTCCATTCTCGATACTCGACATGACCTTCTAAGATAATCCATTTCCACAACGTCTACTTTATCTCGTTCATTCTTTGTCATCGTCCAACATTCGGCACCATATGTGGTAATTGGTTCTACAATTGCTCTGTATACGCGAAGTTTGGTATGCATCTTTATTTTATTAGACCACAGTAATGAATTCAGTATTCGGATGCATTTTTTCCCTTGGGTTATTCGGTTTTGTACATCTATCTTAACTCTGCCATCTGCTGATATGATGCTTCCTAGATATTTATACTGGTTGCAGCCTTTTATGACTGCGTTTTCAAGCCTCAGATCTGTGGTATTTCCTCCAATTTTTTAAATATTCTGTTTTAAATATTCTGTTCTAAACTAAACAATACAAATAGTAAATCGGACTTACATTTACATTACACGTTATTATTAAATCGCGTATAGTCTAAATTGACATAAAAAACTATTGTCCTGTGTTAAATATTGTCCTGTTAATGCGAAGTAACTCTCAGTTACTCCAGATGTCCAGAGGTCAGTAGTAATACAGATATTTTCTACTTCTTTAACAACTTGCGATTTAATAATTTGCTCACTTTTGACATAACATTCCTGAAGTAATGAACCTGACAAAGTTTTTCTTGTTGGCGGTTTATATCCAGGAATCCACCCTGCAAACTTTTTAAAAGCTGGTTCTTTAACTATGGAAAACGGATGAAACGAAAAGTTTAGTAAATCTTGAAAATCAATCAGTCCAAGAAAAAGAAACTGATAAAGATGACTTAAGTCCATGGTGTATTGTTGATGAATTAATTGGACATGACTCATCTAAACATACACCTGTATCGAGAGGTATAAAAGAAGTCGACATGTAATTGTCTGATGATATATTACCCACAAACAATTTCGAACGGAGATTGGAACTGTCCATTACCGTGGTGAAAAAACCATCGCCATGTATATCGTAACTTAACCACTGTATTCATAAAATGTTGTAGTATTGTAACAAAATCTTTTCCTTGTGAACACATGTTTAACATCTGGTATAATTTTAAATAAAAGAAGAACGCGATTAACAAGAAAAGTGGAAAAACTTATGTTTTTAAATGTCAATTTAGACGATTCGCGATTTAATAATGTGTAATGTAAATGTAACTATTTAAGTACCATTTGTATTATTTAATTTATTTTTCAAGTTACAATAAATATATCCTTCGTTAGGTTCTTTTATTTCAATACTTATACACATAAACGATAATAGCTAATATGTTTGTGTACTCGCTAATTTGAATACTGGTAAACAATCAACTAGTTACAGTTTACGAAAAACGGTTCCGATAAAAATTAAAAAAACGAGAAGACCCACCTCTAGTTTTTTAGGTATATTAGGATCGGAACCAGAGAATATCTGATCGGAACTAATCGTCTCACTAATGGGCAATGGCCAATGAGTGTTAAAAGGATTTTAGGAGGGGAGACGAAGGGGAAACATGATTGTTATCTTTGTCTAATTCGTTGAAAATATGATTTTATATCTGCGTTAGATATCCTGTTAAATTTTACCATACCGACCTTAAAATTTTACCTACACTGTACTTGTTTATATGTGTGTAGATAGTGAATGGCATCAGAACTTGTCTATTTGCCACAAAAAATACTTGTTTATATATAATAAAAACTTCCTTTCTTCATATATCAGTTAAATTTCTAAGGGATTTGATTTTTGATACTCTGATTTACGTCAGTCGTTAATTTCCTTTTGCGATTTTACTTCTTTAATGTGAGGGTTGTATTAGGCCAATCTTTATATTTCCGTATACTTTTTTCCATCGAGCAATAAGACAAAAGAGGGAATCTAATCGTTATGAAAATATGAAAATATGTTAAATTGTAACAGTTCAAATATAATAATTTTAAATATACAGGGAAAATTTGATGGGTTTAGTATACACTTCCACTATTTAGAATAATTCTTCTTTTTTTCAAAGAAAGAAGTCTGCAATAGTAGTATTATTGAGCTAAGAATACTGAGAAGGAGGAATTGTTGTGTTGTAGGTTTCTGACAATGAATCTGTCAAAATATGCCCGAGCTAAGCGAATGGAGTATACCACGGAATATCCAATGATCAGGCAGAATTGAGTTGTTCATTACTTATAAAATTACAATGATAAATTCACGAGAAAATATACTATTATTTGATTCGTTAGTTTTGATATTTCTGCAGATCTACTGGAATGACAGCATTATAAATTTATAGTAGTAAAAATAATAAATAAAAAGATTTATAAAGGACACCTTCCAAGAAATTGTGATTTGCTACAATTTCTAGAATATAGTTGTATTAATGGTTGCCTATAAGATGTATAGTATGCATATAGTATGTTTCACATGTTATTGTGATTGCCTAAAACAGTTTTGTGGAATTATTTTTATTATTGTTTAATGTTTAATTCGCTAGTTTTTAAACATCGCTATTTTTTTAACACAATGCTTTGATGGACAAACAAAGTTTTAATATATTCATCATAGCTAGATTATTAAATTTAAAGGAATAGGTTTATAAAAATAGAAAAAATAATTAAGGACAAGAATAAAATAGTAAAACTTATATTTTATATATATATTATATACATTAAAGCTAGAACCTTTCTGCCGGTTTGTTATTTCTGTCTAATATTTATAGTACATTGTTTACCGGATAGGAAAAGCTTAACATTCCTGGACGACTGTGAAGATTGCTAAGTCGAGGCGCAAGCCGAGACTTAGCAACACAGAGTCCAGGAATGTGGCTTTTCCTACGAGGTAAACATACTATTTTTCCTCAAATCGTTTAAAATTCGACAGATATTGATTGATTTAAAAAAAAAACGCGATAATTTTATTCCCAAATACCTAAATGGTGCTTTGAAATTCCTAATAAAATTACTTGGGTTACTATGGAAACGTATTGAGGTTGAATTGTCAAACTTAATCATTTATGTAGAACACTACCAACTGTACGGAAATATCATTTCCTTACTGTAAGGAAATGATATTTCCGTAAATCTAAAATATATTTATAAAAATATATTTTTCCGCAAATCGCCAGGAAATTTTGACATTCCTGTCAAAATTTCTTGAAGAAAAAGTCAGGACTTCCTTACTGTAAGGAAATGTCATTTCCTTACTGTAAGGAAATGATATTTCCGTACAGTTGTTAGTGTTCTACATAAATGATAGAAAACACATTGCTTATAAGGAATTAATTTATATTTTGAAAACATCAAGTCATTGCTGAATACATTTTTAAGATCAATTTGTTATATTTACAGTAATTTGACAGTTAGTACAATTATTGAACATTGGAGGAACACTCTTAGAACTATGAGAAACATTTTGGACAACATGCAGGGTGGAAGTGTCATTTTGTTGAATATTTTGTACTGTGAAAATTTTATTTGCCACCTCAACCTTATTGTTAAGCGATTCTTCGATATATCCTTCAGCAACGTTTGATGACTTCCATCCGCCATGCCTCTTTAAACTAGTTATGTCGGCACCAGAGTCAACCAATATTGTTGCAGAAGACCGACGAAAGCAGTGACCAGTATATTCTGTCGGATTTACCAAGTTCAAATAAGTAGCAATTATTTTGGGCATTTTTCTAAATTGATGAATTCCTACCACTTGTCTACAACCCTTTCCGCTTTGATATTTAAAGAAAAATCGGTCACTGTTCATATTTTCTGGTCTTAACGAAACATACTTTCGATAAACATTCAAGTAGATCTGATTAATTACAAATGATCTTGGTTTGTTGGTTTTCGAATCAGGTATGCTGATTAAAAGCTTAGATTCTAAGTCTTCTATATCGTGTACAGTCATTCGGACTAACTCATCCATTCTACAGGCCCCAGAAATACCAAATATTACAGCCACCTAAAAAATAAATAAAGCTATAATCTAAATAGAAATTAAAACCTTGTAAATTACCTTAATCATTAAATTTTCTTTATCTGGAGCTTCCTGGATAAATTTTTCAATTTCTTCCTTCGTTAAAATCTTAGATTTCTTTGCCCTATAACCTTGAGCTTGCCGTTTCAATAAAGAACGAAGTTTTGAGTATGTAGATATATCTACATTGTGTTTAAGTGCAAGGGTTGACTTCAGCATTGAATAATTGGCCCATAATGTTGAAGATTTCATCTTTAAGCAAAGGTCTAGGAAGTATGCCATTACAACATTTTCTGAGAAAGAACTCGTATTTTTACTCATGCGATAATCCATAAAACGTCTGTATGCATTTTCGTACTTTTCTCTTGATTTCTTTGGCAATAATTCTAATGAAGCAGTATTCACTGCCTCAACCAGCTCTGGAGGAGTCCCAGGAATGGAAATTTCATCATCACTTATCATTTTACTTTCGAGAACACCAGCAATTAAATTTATAAGCGTCAAGTTTGACAATTCAACCTCAATACGTTTCCATAGTAACCCAAGTAATTTTATTAGGAATTTCAAATCACCATTTATTTGGGAATAAAATTATCGCGTTTTTTTTAAATCAATCAATATCTGTCGAATTTTAAACGATTTGCGGAAAAATAGTATGTTTACCTCGTAGGAAAAGCCACATTCCTGGACTCTGTGTTGCTAAGTCTCGGCTTGCGCCTCGACTTAGCAATCTTCACAGTCGTCCAGGAATGTTAAGCTTTTCCTACCCGGTAAACAATGTACTATTTCTATTGTAGAACCTCGAATTTGAACTCGAATATTAAATTTATTTAAAGGAATAGGTTTATAAAAATAGAAAAAATAATTAAGGACAAGAATAAAATAGTAAAACCTATATTAGAAAATAGTTATGCTAGAACCTTTCTGTCGGTTTGTTATTTCTGTCTAATATTTAAATATATTTTTCTATTGTAGAACCTCGAATTTGCGCTCGAGCCCTTTACAACTTCGTTGGTCAATCAGCTAGAGAACTGACTTTTAGAAAAGGTGACATTATCTATCTTAGAAGACAAATAGATAAGAATTGGTATGAGGGTGAACTTAATGCAATGGTTGGTCTGTTTCCGGCTAATTACGTAGAGGTAAGTTAAGTTATACCATAGCAGAATGTTTTAATCCTCGTCACTTGGGTGTTGTGAATTCATTTAAATAATTGTTAAATCTTTATTATTGGAGCGTGTACAAAGTCGTTTATTGCAGTTTCTGATGGTTTACAAAAAATTTTCCGATCAATCAAGTTATCTATGGAAAAACATGTTTATAACAAGTGTAAAAATGGAAAATGTAAAAAATATGATGTATTATATCCTGTAGCATGCAGCCATAGCACAAAATTACATAAAATGTAATTTACTGGTTTTTCACCTGATGTTAATCTGTTAGTAATTTTGTTGATTTTTGATTTGCCAGTCAGAACAATTTTGATTGAACCATTGATTTTTAAAAAGTCCAGCATAAACTCTAATTGTTTTCTTGTGGTTTTTTTTAACTCTTTTTATTCAAAAATACACTAAAAAATTGGGAAAACAAATTATTGAAAATAACATATCCTAATTACGAAAACGGCATGTAATTTTTAGCGTATCAAAAATTATGTTTACACAAGGTAAATTACTTATCAAAGTAGGCAACACGTTATACTTGGATGATACACCGATTTAAAAATATTCACATAAAGGTGTTAAAATTGGAATTTATTAAATTAATTTCTAATTATTTTACATAGATGATACTTCGTAGGTATCACACTATCCACTTTATACAGTCGTCTAAGTTCATATGTGGAAAATCCCTTGCTGAATATCAAAGTGATCTTAGACCGTGTATGTCTAAAATACATAAATTTTTGTGCTAGGTTAATATTCGAAATAAACTAACGACTTCGATATTACTTTTCATATAGATCTTAAATCAGCGTATAGCACCGTCCTGAATTAACTTCAGTTTGCGATATACAAAAACTTAATGAACAAAAACAGACAAATAACCAAAATACAGTATCTAATTAATATACTAATCCTACCATTAAAGTATTCCTAAAACTGATGCAAATCGCCTACTAATCTTCGAACAAAAACGAATCTGTTTTAAAACGAATACTGGGTAAACGTATAAAAAGTAGAAATATACCATTTTTCATAAAATAGGCAGTCTTAAGATGGATAAGATATAAGGAAAAGAGGAGTACAGATAGGCCCTACATCATAACGTGCGAAAGATGAATGCGATAAATTGACAACGTATGGCAGTGGAGAAGAATGACTGGTAAAGTAGACTAAAGAAGCTCAGGGTTTAGCCAGAACTTTAGTATCACTGATAAAAGTGTCAGCGATGTTTATAATATATTTTTAAAAAGGGAGTTTTGTTACTTTTCTTATTATATAAAGCTTCCTACATTGTAATTGATTCTATTAAGTTGTAAAAGTTGTGTAAATAACTGTATATTTAAAAATATTAGTAACCATAACAGTGAATTTTACATATGTAAAAATTGAGAGAGCATATTGGAATTTAAAAAGTACAAGGTTATATCCAACGAGCTCTATCTGATGCCCAATTAATTATTGCAGTTCTTGAATCTTAGAAAACTTAATAAATTGCACAAATAATTAACAATATTTTGATATATTATTTCAAAATGTACGGATATACGTATATATGGGTTTTACCAACAATATCAAAAATTCCTAGAATGATTGCTTTTTTGTACAATATATTACTTTGTATTTGCCATAGAATTTATAATCTTATACTTATATAACCATTTAGTCAATTGTCATTGTTAGAAAAAATGTATCTTATTGTCTTTAATGGAGAGAATGAGCTAATTAGTATACAGGAAAAATATGTAAAAGTATAAATAATAGTGCAGCTAGACCAGCGATTAGTACTAGATATTTTTAATTGCTTCAAATAGGGCAGGATTAAGACCCCGATTTCAATATCAACATTCTTCTTCTCCCTTCTTTATCAATTCCCGTTTATCCAGGCTTCCAGGCATATATAAGTGATCACAATTCAAAATCAGTAGGTCCCTGGCTGAATATAAGACATTCGAGTATAACTAGAGAGTTTGAATTAAAAAGAAAGGTTAATATAAGATGTTTCATATTGGTATCCACAGAAAATTGTGGAGGATATAGCAGGATATATAAAATAAAAGTAAGGTAGTAGATATTGTGATCGATAAATACCAAGTTAAAGGCTCTTGAACTTTTTCTTCAAAAATATCTCACATTGGGACAGACAACGACACGATTTTAAGAAGGATTAGCGAATTAGATTAGTGAAAAATTAAGAAGGTAATATCAATTAGAGCAAATGAAACCATAATGATGACATTTAATATGGCTACAGTAACTGTTTTGAGAGTTCAAAATTAGAGTATCATAGTGAGTAACAATTTTTGTCCCTTTTTCGAATAACCCCTTATACACATTTCATGTTCATTTAATTTGAATATACCAGACTTGCACATTTAGAATCTACAATACTCTTAATATCTCTTTTTATTTTTCAGATTATTCCTTTTGAAGGATTAAAATCCAAATCAACAATCAGAAAAGCACACGAGGGGCAGGCACGTGCTAAATATAATTTTGTAGCCCAAACATACTTGGAACTGTCCCTTGCAAAGGGTGAACTAGTTGTGATCACCCGAAAAGTCGATGAAAACTGGTACGAAGGAAAAATTGGTGGAAGAAAAGGTAAAAATTCTATACAATATCCCTTATATATGAATGTGTCTCTTGTCTAAAGCATATCAAATGAGGCCATCAGTTATAATTCTGAATTGATTCCTGCCTGACTGTTCTCCGTAGTACTTCATTTTTATTAGCACATGTTCGTCCAATATACATTTTGACATGTTGTGGTATTATCCCTAAAATATTATAATTCATATAAAGAATAAGCTGAAAAGAAAACGTGTAACATTGTTTCAATTTTCTAATTAAGTCCTCGATATACAAGTAGAAAAGAATTGGTGGTAAGCAACAACCTTGCCTAACTTCTAACTTCATTAGTTGAAACTTTGGTTGTGATCATTTGATATAAACGTATCTATGTTTATTTATGTATCGGAAATAATTTCTAGCCAGTTCTGTAGCAGTGCACGACTAAACTTATCGAAAGCCTTTATATGGTGTACAAAAGGGATATGAGTTAAGTTGAATTTTCTTCAGTATTAATAATTTTAACATGGGTATTCAATTTGTGCACATGTCTAGATGATATGCATCTAAGGATACGACTCTTTACTATTGTCTGTCCAAAAGTTTTATGCAATTTAGCACTACGTTTCTCATTTATAGAGTAGATAAAATAGCACCAGAAACCACTAATATCTTTCATCGTTTCGAGCTCACGAGGCGACGACTATCACGGTATTCTTGAACCAAGGGCGCGTACTGACGTTTCGTTGCGTTGTGCCGTTCGTCGGTTTCGTGGTTCCGATAAGACTTGCCTTTTGGATACCCGGCTACGCGTATCAAGACAACGCAGTTGTCCTAAGGCCAGCTCAGCGAGGACAGAAACCTCGCGTAGAGCAAAAGGACAAAAGCTGGCTTGATCCTAACGTTCAGTATGCATAGGGACTGTGAGAGCACAGCCTATCAATCCTTTTGGCTTGAAGAGTTCTCAGCAAGAGGTTTCAGAAAAGTTACCCAAGGGATAACTGGCTTATGACGGCTAAGCGTTCATAGCAATGTCGCTATTTGATCCTTCGATGTCGGCTCTTCCTATCATTGTGAAACAGGATTTGCCAAGCGTTGGATTGTTCACCCATACACAAGGAACGTGAGCTGAGCTTAGACCATCGTGAGACAGGTTAGTTTTACCCTACTGATGACTCGTCTTACTCGTTTTACCCTTTGAGGCTTCGTAAGTTTCTGACTGATCGCAAATTGGACTTCAATCTCCGATACAAGATGCTTAAGTGTTACGTGTGGCCTGTTCTGCTGTACGGAATGGAAGCATGGACGTTAAAGGCCAGTTCCATTAACAAACTTGAAGTGTTTGAAATGTGTTGTCTGCGTCGAATGCTCAGAATATCATGGACGGACAGGGTCAGAAATGAGGAAGTACTCAGAAGAGCGGGCTTACAGGATAGGGAACTTTTTAATTATGTAAAAAGTAAGAAGACTGCATACTTGGGGCACATTATACGAGGAGAAGAGTTACACTTTTCAGCAACTGATACTCGAAGGGAAAATAGAGGGTAGGAGAGGTCTCGGACGTAAAAAAATGTCATGGCTGCGCAATATTCGACAATGGACAGGAATCCACAGCTATGAAATGCTTCGCAATGCTGCTAAAAACAGAATTATTTAAACCAGAATATTTAACATCTCACCTGACAAGACGATGTACGATGGACGCTTACGCAGAAATGCACGGCACCTTAAGAAGAAGAAGAAGATGACTCGTCGTTGCGATAGTAATCCTGCTTAGTACGAGAGGAACTGCAGGTTCGGACATTTGGTTGACGCACTTACTCTAGGGGTAATGGTACGATACGTGGGATTACGTCTGAACACTTCCAAGGCAGTATCCTTTCTAGTCAAAGGTGGCAACGATATCTCTTGGAGTTCCGAGAGTCAAAAAGCTCAAAACAATGTGACTTTACTAGGCAATCGTAGTACGCTACAATTGTCGCGCGAGCCCTTATTTACGTTGAGATTGTCGGTTTACGGTGGGATTGATCCTTGCAGTAGATCAGATCTTTAGACGGACGAACATGAGTATTATAATATTTTCATTGTTGGAACTTGGAATTGTCTGTAGACAACTCACGTACCTGGCAGGGTGTTGTACCTGGTAGAGCAGTTTCCACGTTGCGATCTATTGAGACAGCCCTCAGTTTGGGGATCCGTCTTGTCGGTTAGACGAGACCCCTGATTTTAAAAAGTAAAGAAGTGGTGGGGTAGGTGATTTGTGGTAAGCACTTTTTTATTTGTGATATCATACTGTCAAAACAACTTTGTTTTTAGAACCAACTTACCAACCACAGTAATATACAAAATATCATAATTGTCCAGGCACCATTTCTAGATTAAAGTTCATAAAATTGATATTTCTTTTGTGTACATAAACATTTAGTATAGTAACTTGATATTTATATAATTTTAGGTATCTTTCCCGCCAATTACGTCGAAGTTCTCATCGATCCCCAAACGCCGCCTGCATCTAATACCAAACCGGTAGCATCTCCAGCAGCCCACTCTCTACTACTTAACGGATCTGCGGGCGGTAAAGAATCAATGGGTACGCACAGCTACACGCCCAACATTTCGAGCTCCCAACTTGGGCCCAGTTATCATGCGAAACCCGTTCACGTTCTTAACAATGGATCTATTGGTTCGTTACACACAAGCAGAAACGCGGCATTGAATCAAGCGCTGCATATAGAAACTCAGAATGAGCCCACACCGTAAGTACATCCATAATATTATTAAAAATGTTATCAAAGAGAAGCAGTATGCTCCTGTAGAATATTCACAGCAAACATTTCAATCTCTCTCTCCAATGGTCTCAAAATCGAGCCCAAATCGAGCCAAGGCCTCCTGAATTTCAATAGTCAGTTAAAAATTCTTTTTATAAGAAAAGAAGAGGCCGTTAAATTTTTTTACAGTTAATAGTGTGTCTTCTAATATGTTTGTCCATTCTTTTCTATGCCTTCTGCCTATTTTCCTTACCAGAAGCTCCCCAATAACGGAAACTAGGCCAGTTTCCAGATTAGGAAACTCTGGAGTTGGCCAGATACTGTGAGGACCTGCAGCTCCCGCTCCTGATGGGTGCGATTTCTACTCTCACCACGCACTATGGAGACGTACGGATATTAATCCGCGAGGTGTGGCCCTGTTGCCAGTACCTCTCGGGAACCAACTTAGAAATTCTGAACCGGGGCTCTGTAACTATGTTTATGACGTTTAGAAGATGTCAAGTAATTGACGTCACTTTATGCTCTAGATCGTTAGTGGGACTAATTTCTGAGTATTCGTGACTGACGAGCTCTCGCTCTCAGATCACAGGCACATTCTCATTAAGCTGAAGACTCTTAAGCTCCAGAATATTTCATACAGGAATCCACAACAAGCTACAGACTGGAAATTCTTTCGAGAAAAGCTTAGCCATAACTTCGTGAGTCTTCCCCCGTATCTAGAAGGAGCTGAGGAGATAGAGATCTCCTTGGATCACTTATCCGGAGCCCTGACCTCGGTATATGAAGCTAGCCCTGTTGTACAGAGGGCTGCTGGTTCTGCTATTCCCTGGCGGACACCTCAGGGAGAAAGGCAGCGTAGGCTTACTCGGTGCCTCTTTAACAAAGCCAAGAAGACCGGTCGGCCTGTCCACTAGAACTCCTCTAAGCAGGCTCAGTGGGAATAGAAGTGTCTGATTAAGGGGTCATAAAGGAGTTCTTGGAGTGCCTAATGTAACAGCGTGGAACACATGTCCGCTGCAGCTAAGCTCCATAATGCCCTTTTCAAAAATCCGACTCCTGGCGTGAGTCAGGTGCGTCATCCCAGTAAAAATCTATCCTCCACTGAGGAGAAGACGATTAGGCCCCCGCGAATTGGGGATTTTCGGAGGGCGAAGGAGGTAGTATCATATACGAAGGTGTGCTGGGCTGTTAGGGGTTTCACCCCCGTAACCAGGCGAGGACGACATTACGCCAGCTCTGCTTCAGCTGGACCTTTCTATAAATTTATCAAAAGAATTGTTTGTTAGAAACCTGTACCAACGAGTATCATGGGAAAATCGTTAGTACCCTGGTCTATTCCGTGTTTTTTGGATGTGAGACTTCTTCTTACCACTGCATTCCTGTGATGTGGAGTAGATGTGCTGATTTGTTCATATGCGCTTTCCTTCCGCAACTTACATTACAGTTAAATTACCATCGATAGGTGCTACAACTAGAATAAGCTATCTATTCTAAGTTTTTTGTTTAGCCAATCATCTTATTCAACATGTATACAGGGTGTCCCAGACTAATTTACCCACGCTATATCTCTTAATCGAATAGATTTTCGAATGGGGACAAAAAGTGATCTATTCTACTTGTAATACACTTTAATATGGTAATTTAAAAGGATGCAAATATGGGCTACCCATTTTGTATTTCTTTGTAAAAATAGAAGGTACGTTAGAATACCTATATTTATAACCTGCCAAAGTTCAAATTGATTAAAAAATATATAACTGTTTTAAACGTACAAATAATGAAAAATTGTACTTTTGCGTCGTTTGAATAATGATCCTAAATATGAGCTACCCGAAAAATATGTCTTAATTTTGTGTGAAATGAGATAAATGCGTGAAAAATATATTTTAATATCTAAAATACAAACAATATATCAAATAACTCATAGACAATGACGTGTGTATTTCTTTTTTTACTGGGAGAAAATCTATTTGCAAAAGTCACACACATATTCTTCTTTTTCGGCCCCAGCGCACTCGTTATGTGCCCAAAAATGGCACATAAAGCACTTGACCCATATTTCACCAAGATTATCCTCTGAAAAAAGTGCTTCGCAAAACATACACGTTACGTCACCTGCGTCTTGTGTAGGCTGTGTAGAAGGAAACTCATTGTAATCGCTCTCATCATCTGCAGGCACATATTCGTCTTGATCCTCGCTACTAGAACCCGATTTTTTTTTTTTGGTTCTTTGTGACTTTGATAACCTGCTTACGTTTTCCTTTTTTTATTTCTTTTCCTTTTCTTTTTTCTTTGCCTTTTCCTTCTTCGTTTTGCTTCCCTTTGTCTTTGTTGAGAGATTGGATCAGTTCATTTTTGTGAGGTGAAGAGGTTATCACTGAACACTTACTTGGCTTACACCACGATTGGAGGTTTTTTTCTTCAATAATGGCACAGGAGAAATATCATATGGTGTTGTCAGAGATATCCTTGAAGACCCAGATGTGGAAGGAATTGATGGAATGGGCTTATTCTCAAATAATTTTCTTTTTACACCAAGCTCTGTACAAGGTCTTTCGGAAGGCGTGGCAGACTTTCTGTAAAAGCTTATTGTGGGAATAGCGACAAGCTGTGAACTAGTTGCAGAAATAGCATTAAGCTGTGTGTTACTTGTAGGAATAGTTTTAAGCTGTTTTTTAGGCCCAGATGGAAGAGTGGGAGAATTAGATGATAAATTATTGTGGCTGGAACGACAATCTGGTGTGCTCTTAAAATTGATAGAGTTATCGTCAGAATTTGTAGGTTTATTTGAATTGACAGCAGCGGGTGAAACGACGATCACCTTATCATCCTCATCACTCGCATCATCAGGTACGGCTGTCACAGTATTTTATGCTTCAATTTCAGCTGCCATGAAATCGACATCTGTAAATATATTTTTATTCAAGAGATAAATCCCTGTAGCTCTAAATCCATTAACGGCAATCTCTCCAGTTTGGCATTTCAAATAAGCTCTCCCAAAGAGCTCTGACACATCAAATGCACTTAGTGGACGATTATTGTGGTGCAACCAGACCCGGATCTCTTCGCTGTAGTAAGCCTTAAGAACACCCATGTAAGTTTTGTCCAATGGCTGGAGTTTGTGGGTGCAATGGGGAGGCAAGACAATTATAGTGACATGATTATCTCTAGCTAAATCTATGACATCTATATTACGTGTATGGCTGTAATGACCATCCATAATAAGCAGGATTGGTGATTTTTTGTGGGTTTCACTGTGTCAATGAAATGTTGAAACCATCTTGTAAAAATATTGCTTTGTATCCATCCACTGGGATGTACTGCCATGATGGAACCTGGAGGAGCTCCTTTCATCAGCTGCTGGTTAATATTTTTACGTGGGAATATCATCATTGGTGTGATGAATTGGCCAGCAGCGCTCATTGACGTCACGACGGTTATCAGAGAGCCCCTTTCAGCAGAAGTTAATGATGCAATTTGTCGTTTCCCTTTTCAGCCTACTACCTGTGCAATCTTGTTTTGTACAAACGTAAGACCTGTCTCGTCCACATTGAAGATACATTCAGGTGGGTAAAATTGTTTGTCATATTCTGTTTCCAGAACATTGAAAAAGGATGCGACATTTTCTTTGTTAAAGCCTCTTGCTCGTAAATATGATGTTCCCGTTGGTCGTCGTACTGATAACTGTTTATGGCATTGCAGGAAAAGCCTCAGCCAGGTTCTGCCTGCCGTATTACCTCCAAAACAGATGTTTGATATTGTTCCTGTAAGCTAAGACGTACGCCATCCTCCTAAGATCTTTTCTGGTTAATCCATGAAATTTAGCTTCCATTTCCAAAATATAACGCACTAACTTGTCCTCAAGATCATCCCTAAGACAGCTTTACGCCCTAACTTTATTTGAGCAACTTCAATTGGCTTTAGATCAAGTTTTTTGCAGAACGTTGCAAAGTAGAACGTGGGACATTAAACATTTTTGCAGCTTTCAGCGTACCTATTTCGTGCTGCCTGACAGCTATAATTGCACGTTCCATGTCTCTCTTGTCCCATTTTTTTCTTTTTTTAGCTTCTTTCAGCTGTTGTTTTGACATCCTGAAACAATTGAAGTATGTTTTACATTGTTCTAAATATGGGCCACTGGCCCATAATGAAAATAGGGGCATAGCCCATATTGTAAACACGTTTGCTTTGCACAACAGAAGAGGTTATGTATAAAAGTAGTCAATTTGAAGAAAACTTATTAGCATGCATTATATCAAAGACTGATTATAGAGCTTCAACGTGACACAGACGTTGTTTTGAAATTAGTGTTTATTTTCAAATACTCGAATTTATCAACTTACCCGAAAAAGTTTTGACACTCACACCAACCGACAAACAATTATTATAAACTGGAAAATGTCTACCACTGTGGCGCCATAGCTACGGTGATAGTTTAACTTCGCCAAATACCGTTTGCAATAGTCAAAATGTAGAGATCTGCAACGAATAGCTGTGAATCCTACCCAAAGACCATTGGTGTAAATGGTCTTTGATTATACCTAGCCATATTACAAGACCAGCCCATATTTGCAGCCTTTCCTATATAATAAAAAATAAATTGATTTCTGGATTTTTTACAAACCGATTTTATTTTGATAAATCTGTTGAATAGACGATAGAAGACGACGTCCAAAACTATTAAAAAATATACAGGGTGCTATTAAAAAAATTAAAGTTAGGGGTTGTAACTAAGGGATGAATATTTAGAGGATAATTTTTTCTACGACATATTAAAGTGTATTATAAGTAGAATAGATCACTTTTTATCCCATTCGAAAATTTCTATTCGTTTAAGAGATCCAGCGTGGGTAAATTAGTCTGGGACACCCTGTATATTCATCTCCTTTTTTTAAGTGATCGAAATTCGATTAGATTCTTTATAATAGTAAAAATACATTGATTTTGGTAGTTTCTTATTTATTAATTTATATTTTGCAGATACCGAGCCATGTACAAATATAAGCCCCAGAACGAAGATGAACTAGAATTACTAGAAGGCGATACCGTCTACGTCTTAGAAAAATGCGACGATGGCTGGTATGTTGGTTCCAGTGAAAGAACAGGAGCCTTCGGCACTTTCCCGGGAAACTATGTAGAGAAAATTTAGCAAAAAGTTCCTTTGCTGTATCTTGTTTAGATTGAATCTGTCTGTCATTTAACCCGTTTCAATTATGGTGCCTAATAATTTATAACCATCAACTGCCAATTTTTTGAAAAAAAAAGTTAGCTAAACCGAGATATTATTAACCAAGTCAAGCACAAATTTCGGTTTCTTCTGCCAAAGAAATGTGTTACCTTTTCTGAAAAGATGTTTCTAAATAGGGCTTCCGATAATATTAAAAACCAAGTAGAAAAGTTGATCAAAAATTGAGTCTTCTTGCAATCGAGTGAAAAACATTGCTACTAACCAAGCTTGTAGATTTTGTATGATCACTAATATTTAGTTTTCGTAAACATGCATTCTAGTCATTAGCCAAATGGTAATTTTTAGCATAGTATCTTATTATGGCGTTTCGAAAAGGCGCCTGAAATTTGTACAACAGTACAATATTTTATTTGCACCAAAAAGAGCGCTAAGAGTTTTACATACATGAACAATGTTCTTCCATAACATAATAATTGTAGATGTATATTAAGAAAGAATATGAATTTAACTACTTATATGCGGAGTTCTTCCGATTAGTTTAATTTTTGGCATATCGTATTTGTACCTTCTGTAGATTGACTGTGTTCTCTAGTTTCTAACCCACCTTTATAAGACTTAAATTATAGGAGTGCCTTTTGAATACAATACTGACTTTCAAAGTAGTTATTTTTGAGAAAATCTGGCAACACAGCGAAACGAATTTGTAAAGAGTGTGTAAATTATAAACTATATCGATTCGACAACGTTGCCAATTTCTCTGTTGTTATCGTTTACCGTCTAATTTATATTTACAATGTTAGATGAAAATTATATTTTTTCGCTTTGTCAGAGAGCATTATACTTCACCTATGTTTATTTGTAACATTTTTGTTTTACAATAAAAATATTTAACGTTGAATGCTTCTGTTGTTTTTTTTTTATTATAACTCATCTTTTTTTGACACTAAACTAACTAATTAAATCAGTTTAGGAACACTATGGTCTTATATTTGAAAAACTGACTGTATAGGAAATAACCTCTCAAATAAAAATAGAGAAATACCAATAGTACCAGTTGGATATAGAAATATGAAAATTGGAAACGATGAATGGAGATGGAGTAGCGAAGAGAGAATATTAAAAAAGCCAAAATAACAAGGTTCACCACTTTACACAGACAGCACGTATTTTCAACTAGATAATGATATCTACAAGCAAAATATCGGATGAGATCCTTATCTTCCTTATTAGCAGATATATCCATGGAGGATGTCGAACAAATCATTGTACAAAAACAAGACATGTAGATGATGTGTTATCCTTTTGACCTCACGGACCAGAAGCACTCAATAAATCACTGATGGATGTCAACAATAAAGAAGAATCAATCAAGTTCAGCATGGAAAAAAGAAAACAACTCACTTCCTCTTCTTAATGTGTTAATCACAAAAGAGGATACAGGATGTAAACCAAAGTTTAGAGTTTGGGGAACAAAACAACGCATCGAAAGGCAATAATAGAGTTGTAAGTAGTACAAACAGGTCCAGATATGATAACAGCAGAAATGCTTAAAGCCACAGAAGAAACCGGCGTAAAGTTACTTCATCTACTCTGTAACCAAATATGGCATTCCAAACAATGGCCTGAAGATGGACAAAATCTACAATAACGACCATACATAAAAAAGGCAGCTTCCATAAATGCGACAATTATAGAACTATCTCTCTTATATCCATGCCAGCAAGATAATGTTACATATAATCAATGAGAGACTGAAAACATTCCTTCAAAGAGAAAATTCCACAAGAGCAAACTGGATTTACCAAAGGTAGAGGCACTCAAGAACACCTGCTGAATATAAGAAAGATAATCGAGAGATCTAGGGAATTCAACATTTCACTATACATCTGTTTTATAGATTCCCGTAAAGCGTTCGACAGGGTCAAGTGAAGACACTTATGGCGAATACTAAAAGAAGTAGGCGTACCACAACATCTAATTACGCTTATAACCGAACTATATGAACACACTACTGGATCAGTTAAAGTACTTGACACACTTTCGAACGAATTTCATCCAGAACGGGGTGTCAGACAAGGATGTATACTATCTCCACAATTATTCAACATATATGGGGAGTATATTATACGAAGAGCACTTGAAGGATGGGAAAAGGGCATCTCAATAAATGGTCATAAACTAAACAACCTACGTTTCGCAGATGACCAGCCCTTCTTGCAAATAGTCAAGCAGAGTGATAGAACTTATACGACTGATCGAAAACGAAAGTCAAATATTTGGTCTGCAATTAAACATATCAAAGACAAAGATCATGATAGTGGATAGACTACACAACAATCATCCACACATACTCACAATTGACCGGTTCGAGGTTGTGAGCTCATACTTATATCTGGGATCATTTATCACAAACACAGGGTCATTATAAGAAGGGATTAAACGTAGATGTGATCTAGCAAAAGTTGCCACAGCAAAAATGACCAAAATATAGAAGGACTCAAATTTCAAGAGCGATAAAGATGAGGTTGATCAACTGCTTAATATTCCCAATACTGACCTACGGATTTGAATCTTGGACTCTGAGACAATCGGAGAGAAGAAAGATAGACGCCACTGAAATGTTCTGTTGGAGACGAATGTTACGAATTCCTTGGACGACCGTAGAACAAATAATTCAATTTTAAGAGAGCTAAAAGTTAGCCAACGACTCTCTAGTAAAGTCCATCTCCAACAATTAAAATATTTTGGGCATGTTATGAGAGCAAACATAGAAAACATGAAAAGACTCATAATACAAGGAAAGGTAGAAGGCCGAAGATCACGAGGAAGATCCCCAACAAGATGGATAGATCAAATTACAGGAATATGCCAAAGACCTATGCATGAATTAAAAGAAATTACCAGAGACAGAGATCTCTGGAGACTGACAATACACGACATCACGTCGACCACTACACTCCCCCTAGGGGGTCAGGATTGAAGAGAGAGAAATAGTACAAACACACGCTCGTGTATAAATCTTGGATTCAATGAGATTGTGCTTCACTGCAGGCTTAGGGGTGAGTCTAGTCTTATCTCGCCTACACATACATGTCCGAAAAATGGCTCTACGGTTCAGGATCTAAAACCCTAGTTCAGACTAAGATTTTAAGAGTTTGAACAACGCAATCCATGAAGATGCCCATAGCCATTAGGTCTGCAAAGAAAATATAGAACTGAAAATAAATATTAATATAAACAAGTGTGAATCAACACAAAATAAAATATATATCACAAGAGATAAGTTTGATACTGATATTAAATGAGGGAGTAGAAATAATGGTTACACCAGACAGTCAATAGCATTTTTTCATGGAAGAAGGAAATATTCTAGACGAACAACTAGCAATCGACTTTTGAGCTCAAGATTGCCCGAAAAAGCCTCAATTCAAACAAAATATTTATCAGACTGTCATGCTGCATTAAAGATTATAACATCTCAGTCAAAAACCATGCAAACAGTGTGCAGTGCAAGTAATGAATACTTCTTTTATTGGGGAAGACCTATTCTGCGATGTAGCGAAATTCCCCACAGTGACGATCTTCGAAAATTATGGGAAAAGGAACTTAGTGTAGTCTACTGGAAAAATATTCCAGATCAAAAGCAAGAAAAAGGTTATTACGACCTTATGTTCTACACGAAAATGCTCTCTTGAAGAGTCAGATGTCCGAACTCACATGTTTTCTCACTGGAAATTACTTACTCAGATATCAAATATGTAAAATGGGCAAAGTAGACAGAAAAACATGTATATTCTACGAAAATGCAGATAATTACCTGGCCAGGAACATATATCTCTCCAGGTAAGCAGTCTGGTAAGTTCTTAGAAGCCAATCGACTCCTTCGAAGTCTACAAGTTCTGTTAAAAATATTTTTCTCATATTCTTTTGTACTTTTAGGTGTTGGAGATTCCAGTTCTTCCTTTACCCATTTTTTCCATGTAATTCTAGTTTTGACCATCGTCTTTTACTCTTCAATAATTTTCTCCTTATTCCTTCCTATTTCTTAGATCTGTTCTGTCCATTTCCTTCTGGATCTTCTCCTTTTTCTTCGACTTCTTCATTCTAATATTTGCCTTATAATTATTTCTGGTATCATGATTTTAAAATCATGGAAAATTCATGATTTTAAAATTCTGGACATTCAGTTGTTCGAGAAAGTCATCTGTGGTCAATAGGATATGCTAGCTGTATAGTTAAGGCGTACTAGATAGACTTCAAATGCTTGTAGAGATTCACCGGATTTTTGCTGTCTGAACCGGATGTTTGTCACAATATCGCTTTTTCAATTGAGATACCAAGCTGGGAAAGTTCTTTTGCTGTTCCTGAGAGGTGGACTGCAAAACATTTAGGGCTTCTCCTCTGGGAGAAAGAAACTACAGTGTAGTGGCCTTTTCTTCATTTTGGCGATTTTATTTAAGCTGGTCTGGAATGACGTGTGAATTAAAGAATATTTGATATAAGGTTGAATGCTGGAATAAATGAACTTTGATAATATACAAGGCAAATATCGAATACAGTATTAATATAATCTTGCCCAAGTACTTTCGATCACTAGATCATCTTCATGAAATGCCCCTGAAGATGATCTAGTGATGGAAAGTAGTTGGGCAAGATTAAATTAATACTGTGCTCTATATTTGCCTTGTATATTATCAAAGTTAATTGAAGAATAGTTGCAACATTTGCCTGACCCATTATTTCGGCTACATTATCTTTCAATTTTCGGTCTCATTCCTGCATCTCTCTTTGCAGTTTCGAGGTATTCTCATTCACAGTCTCTTGTATCCCTGCACGCAGTTGCGTTGTGGTCTCAGTAGCGGTTTTTTCTATCTCTGTTCGCAGTTATGTAGTAGTATCACGCACTTCCGTTCGAAGTTCTAAATTAGTTTCTTGTATTCTCGTCTCAAGCCATGATAATTTGACGAACATGCCTTCTTTAAGACCCCCTAACTGTTCTGTGGTTGTAGCTTGGGGTTCTTTCATGCAATTCAGATTTTCTTACAATGCAGCGTGGCTGTTTTTTACATTTTCTTGCAATACTTGGTTTTCGTGCATCTTACTTGGTAATATTTCTTGCAATGTAGTTATCAGGCCCAGCGGCATGGCTAGTAATGAAGGATCTTGGTAGGATGGACCTTCTGGAACATCTGCAGAATCCGTCGACAAATTCCATTGACATCTAGTTCTCGGCAATTTAAACTAATAGCCGTCTGAGTTTGGCCACTAAGATGTCTCACTTCTGACACCAATTTTTATTGTGGTTGTCTTGAAATACGTGGATCATAAACTCAAACTTTATGAAAAATTTATAAAATACTGAACTAACGAACTCTTCTTCTTTTTCTTCTTCAGCCTTCATTTATCCATTGTTGGGCATAGGCCTCCTCCAGTTGCTTCCACGCTTCCTATCTTTTGCAGTTCTCATTCACTGCTTTCCAGCTACAGCTGTTATATCGTCTATCCATCTCTTTTTGGGTCTTGCCACGCTTTTTGTTTCTCGAGATCTCCAGGAACGAACTAACATTGAAAAATTACTAAAATTACTAAAAAAAAACTAACATTGGCCTGTTCTTCTTTAAGTTTCGGTTCAACTTACTGTCTTAGTCTTTTCTTTATTATCGACGTATATAGTATATAGCTAACTTGATCTAGAAATATAACAATGTAGTTTTTGCATCGGGTTTCTTTCCCTTTTTGGCTCGATTAAATTATTTTCCCCATCCTTTTGCAACTTTGGATTTTTCGTAGCAAATTATTCACATACATTCCTTTCCCTTTCCTCCTACTACTTATCATTTAGGCGCAATTTCTTCCTTCCCACATGCTTTTCCTATTTTGATTATATTTATGGGTT